CGAGCAGGTGTCCACATACTTTTGGTCATGTAGTGTATATTTAAAGCTGATCTAGTCTTAAAAAAAAGGAACTATCCCAGTCTAAATTGCAGTATAGATATAGTGCAGTGGAAACCAGCCGCCACAAGTGGGTGCTAGACTCTTATTATTGGATGTGGTTGTTGGGACAATGAGCTGCCTGGATAGCTTTGCCACACACTGCTTCTCTGATTTACCTGACTCACAGTAAACAGAGTACCATAAAACACACGAGGAGAAGGAATGCCAATCAAATTAGTGGTTAATGAGGGAGTTAAATGCAGTGATCTGAGGACACGCCTTTCAGGTGTGCTTCATTTAAACATTTAACATTTTTGTCATTTAGCAGACGCTCTTATCCAGAGCGACTTACAGTTAGTGAGTGCATACATTATATATTTTTTTTAACTGGCCCCCCGTGGGAATCGAACCCACAACCCTGGCGTTGCAAACGCCATGCTCTACCAACATCCCTGCCGGCCATTCCCTCCCCTACCCTGGACGACGCTGGGTCTCCCAGTCGCGGCCGGCTACGACAGAGCCTGGATTCGAACCAGGATCTCTAGTGCCTTAGACCACTGCGCCACTCGGGAGGCCTTGCTTCATTGGCTGTCCAGCAATTATGAGTTAATGAACTATGAATCCCCAGGGGTTAATTGTGAACAATACCCAGCTAGCGCATTTGGTTCCTTGGAAGTTGTGCGAACAAAGCCATACGTTTCCTGACCAGTAAAACTGAACTTTTTTTTTAACATTCTGAGAACAGAAGTGAAAATGTTGCTTGTTCTGGGAACGTTTATTTTTAGGTTGCAGGCAGGTTCTGAGAACGTTTTACTCTGGTTCCTTGAAAGTTTTTCAGGGGAGGTTTTATTAACACTCAGAACGGAAATGATAGGTTATTTTGAGGTTTTTGAACTTCCTTAACTTTCACTGAATTATTCAATAAGACTGCTAGCTTATTTTGCACAGATAGGACATATGGAAATTAATGTCCTTAAGCGTTAATCATGCAACCACATATATTGACATAGCATCGGTGACATTCAAACCTATAATCTTCTGTTCTCTTTCCATGGAATTAGTCCACTGCGCCACCAGGATGGAGCTAGCATGCCATGTTTTTTTTTTACAAATACAAGCTGTTCATTTTAGTCTATTCAAACCATAGAGATAGATAGAGGACTCATCTTTGTATCTGTGACAGCATGGGCAGCGCCATTGAGGCAATCTCCATTTTGAAGTAGTCCATTTTCTTCTTCACGATTGGCTTATCCCTCCTGATGACCCAGTTGGACATGACTCAAAACAGGGTCACCTGGAGGAATCAGACAATGAAGTTGAAGTCTCACCCAGTTGACTACATTAAAATGGTAGAAGCCCTCAATGGTGCTGCCTATGCTAATACAGCCTTTTGGCCAATAGAGGCCTCTATCATTCAATTAGTGGGCACGGCCAACACACCTGAACACACTTAACAAGATAGAGAATAGAGAGAGTTTTGTTGATGCTGAGAACGGAGTGTATATGTTTTTAAGTAACATTCGTAGAAAGTTCTCTGAACGTTACTAAAGTTTTCTTGTGGTTTTTATGGAACGTTTCTTAACGTTCTCTGAACAATTTGAGAACATGACTTTAAATAGAACCATGAGGAAACCTGTAGGAAACGTTATGCTGAAGTACTGAAATTGCCACAGAAGAACGTCGTTAACGTTCTTCGAACAATTTGAGAACCTGACTTTAAATCGAACCATGAGGAAACCTGTAGGAAACACTATGCTGAAGTACTTAAATTCCCACAGAAGAACGTTGTTTCTTAAAGTTCCCTGAACTATTCTTAAACCAGTTGGAGAATGTTCCTAGAATATTACCAACATTTTTAATACATGTAACCATGTTTGAACTTTTAGGAAACCTGTTAAAGTAATGAAATACCAAGAAATAATGTTTTTTGTAAAGTTCCTTAAATGTGCTGAGAATGTTCCAAAGCCATGCAGAAGTGGAGAATAGGATGGTACATTTTTGTGTGGAGCACTTTTGGATTATGCTAAAATAAAGACCGCTTGCTGTCAACATTGGTGAATAAATGGAGCTACTAGAGTGCGGCTTTTCTTTTTCTTTAGATGCACTTTTGGATTATAACAGAGCCATATATTTATGTCTAAACAGATGGCTCTGGGTTATACCAACTATTCTCATGTTATATGTTTGTCCCTCTGTTGTGCTGAGACTGGCTACAATTTCACCACTGACTGCCGTGTAGCTTTAGAGGAACAAATGAGAGTGGAGCCTTCAGTTCTAAAGTCTTGGTTGGGCCCAAACCCTAGTCACAGCTCCTGTGTGACATCTTAATCCTGTCTGGTGCTATTAGCTTCAGAGTGAGGGAGGAGGTGCTGATGGATTTGTGCTACTGAGGAGACCATGTGGCTCTGAGGCATACACCCAAACCCTTCTACGTGCCCTCTGCCAAACGAGAGAGGCAGAGCTGCTGTTATTTTAGTATCACTTGGGTATTAATAGGATGGATTCATGGGACGGAATAATGCTTGAGTTATAGATGCTAAATATTCAAACTTTGGAAACAACCATGATTGTTGAAGTGTTGACTGTAATGGATATGAGTATTTCTGGGGAAAGTTCTGCCTTTTTACTTTCAAGTCTATGAGTATCTCATTTTCATTTTTCCTCTCCTTCACTCACTTGTTTACTCCTTTAAAGTGTGAGGCAGAGCAGAACCTTCAACAGTTAAGGAGTTGTGCCATATTTAATGTGACCTTTTCCTTGGCGCTCTATGTCTGGGGAACTTCCTTTTTCCTGTGCTGCTGCTGGATAAATGATATTCCTTTCCGTTGTGGTGAACACAAAATTAAAATAATGGCCTGTCTTTAATAATGGAAAAATAATGGCCTGCATTGTTTGTTCCTGGCCCTATCTTTAACTTTGGACAAGCCATGGGAATTCTTCTGTGAATTTAAGTCAGGTTGTCAATACTGCAGCTTTGTGTTCCAGGCTTTTAGGCTCTTTTAATCTGCTGAAAATAAAATACTGAGAATACAAGAGGCCATAGTGCAATTTGTGTTTTGGGATTTTGTTTTTTATTCAATTAAGGTATACATTTGTCTTTTTAAATTATTTTCTCTTGTCCAAAACAAAAAAGATAATTGACACAGGAAATATACAAAAATATAAAGAGAAGTGCCTCAATGCCACATATACAACAGGAAAGTATTTTACAATAACAAAATCAATCGTTAGCTAACACTAACTTTATTAATAAGAAAAACAACCAAACACAGACCCCTAGACTTTCATCACCTCAAACGTAGCAATAATGATTTCTCACATACCTTTTGCACATCACAGAAACCCACAACAATCTTTCCAGTGAACTGTCTTTCTGTGCAAGCCACTGTAATACCTACGGTTCAAACCCTCAGTATTGTAAGTATTCAGAACATCTTAACCCTCAAGAAACCCTCCAAAAACCGCTGATAAAACTACACAGCCTCTCTTCACTTTCTCTCCTTACTTTCTTCTGTCCATATTCTTTTGTGTATAAAACACACCTTTCTTTGTACATTTTCAACACCTACATTAACTGCAGTTTTCATTACAAAAATAGCTCAATATGTCAATTAAAAGTAGGGAATACACATATTCAATGAAATAGAGTAGAGATCTAAAAAAACACTGAGGTAAGTTATCTGAATTCATAATACACAGTTCAATATTTACCAGGTTCCACAATCCATATCCATATGTATATAATGTATATTACATCTGTATTATTTTCCTATAACAACACCTGACAGCAGTATATAAATCCAAGCCACCCATTTCACTATCCTGTATATTACAACAGTGTGCTGGAGAGAGTATATGTTGGGATTTTTATGGTTGTATTTACCAGTCTGCCAAACAACCAGAACATCAGAGGCTAGAGCTGGCTATGTCTAAAAACAGACAGAAATGTTCCTCAGCTTTGCCCAGCTAGTGACAGTATTAACTGGCTAGCTCTGCTCTCCCTCCTCCTCTCTGGATCCAAGGTTGGCATTTGCAACTGGCAGGTTGGCTTGTAGTTATGGCAGCGACAAAAAGCATCTCCTTCACCAGAGGCATTCTATAACAGAAACCTTGACTGTCTGTCTGCCTGCTGTTCAAGGTGCCTGCTAAGACTCTGTTTCTGATTTGTTGTAGAAAATGGTGTGGAGAATGTGATATTTTCCTTTAAAAGACCTTTGTCTATCAGACAAAAAAGGCAGATTCTAGAGTTTATATCGTGAAGATGTGGTTTGGTGTCAAAGCAAGACAGCAGAGCTGCAGAGAGGAGTTTGACATCACTGGAGACTACAATAATGTACTCATGACACCCTCAAGATGTGGTGCAATGAGAAAGATGTGATTTAGATCTAATGCAGGAGTCCTTTCTGACAGTTTGATGAGGTTGTGACAAAGACATGACTCACTACTAGGGTGAAACCTCCTTTGTTACAAAATCTTTGGTCCATTCTTTCAAATACTAAGTATTGCATTTCTGTTTCCCCCTCTTTTCAGAATACCCACATCATTTACACAAAGGCCGCTTTTCATGAGTGTGTCTGTGTATTCTTACATTTTCCCTTCTGAGCATTCATGAATATGTCATTTCTATAATGCATATTGACAGTCCAACAAGATGTGTAACATGCTACCATCAACCCTTAATTAGTCATGCTCAGCTATCAGAGGTGTTCCTGGAGATGAGAGGAGGCTACAGACTGGCAGCGCTCAACTCAATAAGACAAATAATGAACCATGAAGTACTGCTCTTTAAAGGCCTATGAGATTTGCTGTACTTCCCCTACAGTACCCCTCCTACATTATGCAATATGACCACGCTCTGTGTGTCAGTCTGTCAGTCTTCCTGTGTGTCCACCCGTCTGTCAGCCTCTGTGTGTGTGTGTGTCCATAACAGTAGGATTCGCCAGGCAGGTCTGGGATCAGGTTTAGAGGTCCTCTGTGTAGATGATGCAGGGGCTGCTATCCTCACTGGACTCCAGCTGGACAGTGGAGACAAACCAGCGGCGGGAGCCCGTAGCGTTGTAATTGAGCGTGGTGCGGTAAGTGTTCTTGGCGTGTTTGGGGTACACTATGGTGGTGCTCTGGTAGTGCAGGGGCCTCTGGCGCGGCTCTAGGTACACCTGGGACTTGTAACTCCTCCAGGTGCAGTTCTGCACGGCAACGACCGTCTCGCTGTAGGACGTCACTGTTGGAACGGGAGCGCAGTACACCTGGTCCCGGTAGTGCTTGTCTGAGTCATACTTCACCTCAGAGTTACACCTGGGGAGTAGAACCAAAGACATGGGATTAAGTACTGAAGTACCAAAGTACTTTGAAGAGCTATTGTGTTATTGACTGTATGTTTTGTTTTATCCCATGTGTAACTCTGTGTTGTTGTTGTTTTTATCGCACTGCTTTGCTTTATCTTGGCCAGGTCGCAATTGTAAATGAGAACTTGTTCTCAACTGGCCTACCTGGTTAAATAAAGGTGAAATTAAATAAAAAAACATTAAGTCATAGATTCTGCAGTAAATGGTATATAGCTGATCACTAGATGGCACTATTAAGTAGGGCTGGCACAATTACTGTATAACCTTGTAACCGACAGTTATGGATGAAGACCATCATTATTATTATTATTATTATTTATTTTTTTGGGGGGGGGGCAGCTGACTAAAGACCAGATGGCCGGGCATCCGTGAGGCAATTTGACTGTTAAAAACTCATAGGTACACTCGCAATGGTTGCCTGGTATTGTGATGCAATAATTTCCATGGTAATGTAGAATGTTCATTCAAATTATGTTAACTGATGTGGCTCATGCAATGGAATGTTTTTTTTGTAATGTCAGTTGAGTTGAATCAGCAAATCTGGGTACACTTCATTCTTTTACTTCCTGCTTTGCAATGGTCGCCAGTCCACCCATTATACCATCATTGACTTGAATGGGGACGCCCATTCTATTCAATCTATTTCTATGGCAGCACATGCAGTCAGGAGCGGAGGAGAAAATGTGCATCAAAATTTATGTATATATATATATATATATATATATATATATATATATATATATATACTACCGTTCAAACCTTTGGGGTCACTTAGAAATGTCCTTGTTTTCGAAAGAAAAGAAAAAAAAATTTGTCTATTAAAATAACAAAATTGATCAGAAATACAGTGTAGACATTGTTAATGTTGTAAATGGCTATTGTAGCTGGAAACGGCTGATTTTTTTATGGAATATCTACATAGGCGTAGAGAGGCCCATTATCAGCAACCATCAGTCCTGTGTTCCAATGGCATGTTGTGTTTGCTAATCCAAGTTTATCATTTTAAAAGGCTAATTGATCATTAGAAAACACTTTTGCAATTATGTTAGCACAGCTGAAAACTGTTGTGCTGATTAAAGAAGCAATAAAACTGGCCTTCTTGAGACTAGTTGAGTATCTGGAGCGTCGGCAATTGTGGGTTCGATTACAGGCTCAAAATGGCCAGAAACAAATAACTTTCTTCTGAAACTCGTCAGTCTATTCTTGTTCTGAGAAATGAAAGCTATTCCATGCGAGAAATTGCCAAGAAATTGAAGATCTCGTACAACGCTGTGTACTACTCCCTGTGTATGTCAACAGTGAAGAGGTGACTCTGGGACGCTGACCTTCTAGGCAGAGTTACAAAGAAAAAGCCATACCTCAGACTGCCCATCTTAATCTTTTCTTTTTATTGGCCAGTCTGAGATATGGCTTTTTCTTTGCAACTCTGCCTAGAAGGTCAGCATCCCGGAGTCGCCTCTTCACTGTTGACGTTGAGACTGGTGTTTTGCGGGTGCTATTTAATGAAGCTGCCAGTTGAGGACCTGTGAGACGTCTGTTTCTCAAACTAGACACTCTAATGTATTTGTCCTCTTGCTCAGTTGTGCACCAGGGCCTCCCACTCCTCTTTCTATTCTGGTTAGAGCCAGTTTGCGCTGTTCTGTGAAGGGAGTAGTACACACAATTTCTTGCATGGAATAGCCTTAATTTCTCAGAACAAGAATAGCCTGACGAGTTTCAGAAGAAAGTTATTTGTTTCTGGCCATTTTGAGCCTGTAATCAAACCCACAATTGCTGATGCTCCAGATACTCAACTAGTCTCAAGAAGGCCAGTTTTATTGCTTCTTTAATCAGCACAACAGTTTTCAGCTGTGCTAACATAATTGCAAAAGGGTTTTCTAATTATCAATTAGCCTTTTAAAATCATAAACTTGGATTAGCAAACACAACGTGCCATTGGAACACAGGACTGATGGTTGCTGATAATGGGCCTCTGTACGCCTATGTAGATATTCCATTAAAAATCTGCCGTTTCCAGCTACAATAGCCATTTACAACATTAACAATATCTACACTGTATTTCTGATCAATTTGATGTTATTTTAGTGGACAAAAAAAATGCTTTTCTTTCGAAAACAAGGACATTTCTAAGTGACCCCAAACCTTTGAACGGTAGTGTATATATATATATATATATATATTTTTTTTTAAGAAATGCTATTCGAACGGTTATTACGGTGAACGCGGTCATTTGGCTGGCCAATTACCGTCATCCAAAATTCCATGACCGTCACAGCCCTACTATTAATAGCAAGTCATTCTGTATGTAGTTTGGTGAAGGGTCACTCACTTGATCTCTGTTTCAGGTTTTGGGATGACCTCGATGCTCTCCCCAAAGAACACAGGGTACATGCGTGCCCTCGGGTCCGTCCCCGTTGAGTTCAGGAGAAGGTACGGCAGCTAGGGGAGGATATAGGTATGAGGTTAGGGAGGCCATTCTTATAAATCCATCACTTTACCCCCTGTTAATGTGTAAAAACGAACCTACTGGTGGTGAGGGGAAGTGAGCTGGCAGATGAGGGAAGTGGGCTGGCAGAATCCATTCTACAGGCAAGAGTAGACTGTCCTGCGAGATCCCACTATTAGCAGCCCAGTTGTATGCTTCTGAAAGAACTTCCAAAGCCAGCCATCCTGTCTGCCTGTTGTGTAGCTGAGAGGGCTAGTTGAGAGCATTCCTCCACCTCTGTGTCTCCTGGACCTGGGCAATGTCACTGCTTCAACTGCTCAAGCCATTAGAACCGCTCTGCTCCCTCCACTAAATCAACCCCACAGAGCGCCTACAGTCCAGACACACACACCAGCCCAGCCAACAGCACACATGGCTGTCCAGGACAGGAGAGAGGCTACTGTCTGTCTGTCTGTCTCTGTCTGTCTGTCTGCACTACACAACAAACCCTGTCCCAGAGAGGTCACATACATGTTAAGGTTCATTTTATTTCATTTGACTGTAAATGGATGAAGCCTTGTAGTCAGTGTTGTCAACCTCATGGCACTGTATGTATCTCATCAGAGTATGTCTCACATACGGTACAGTATAGCACAGTATGACAAACTGGTTAGACCATGTCATCAGAGAGTGAAATACCCTCTAGTAGGTGTCAGTGTTAGATCTTTCCTATGCTCCAGACTTGGTTCACCTGTTACACCCAGCATTCTGACTGAGAAAGACCTTATGAGAAGGCCTCTCCATAGGGACTTTGCTGTCCTGTCCCACCATCTGCCTAGAGACCAATAAAGTCATAGGCACAAACCCATACACTGTAACTACCGCTTCTGGAACCAATTAGCAAATTCTAAATCCTTTGCCAAGTCTATACAGTGCTGCTGTCTTAGCCCATAGGCATGCACGGATGTCATCCAGTCAACATGACATCTAGTCATAATGCCATCCAGACAATACACGTTTCGTTGTGAGTCCAAGACGTCCAACTAACACTTTTATGTGTAATTACAGGATCTCCCCAAACACGAACTTCCTGAATCAACTATATCATTCTGCTCCCACCATCTCTCTTTCTCTCCCTCTCTTTCTCTCTCTGTCATTACAAAGGGTAGATCGAGCAAAGTTGTCACGTTAAGGTTTGGCTGCACATGTCTCTCCAACATCATAGCTCTTGGGACAGGTCAGAACAGGCCAAGGGAACAGCAGAGGTGCCACCCAAATCACTGTGCAGCACACAGCTCTCGTCTTACCCAAACCCCCAAATCGGCACCCAACAAAACCTCACTCTGTGGGCTGTACTGTACCCCAGCTTGCAACTTCAGCTCTGCTGAGTATATCACTCTCACTCAGATGAGAGCTAGTGTAACCAATAACCATGCTACCCTCATTGCTGTTAATCCCTGTAAATGGACCATAATCTGCAAAGTCATTAATTTTCCACTGTGTGCTGCTGGCATCAACATATTAAAAGAGTGTGATTGGCATGTCTTCTGTGCTCTGGCAGAAGCAGCATCCTGGCTGTTTATCCAGAGGAATTAATGTGTTGGCAGCCTTTGAAAGTGTAAACACTTTTGAATGGTAGGTGGGCTCCAGGCTAGGGGCCCAGGACCACTCTTCACAAATTAAATGACAAGGGAAATTACATTTTCACCCAATGGGTTGCACTAAAGCATTCCCACAAATAGCACATTATCCGAACAGGTAGCCTAGCATATTTACTTCACACAAAGTCGCCATACATTGAAAGTACGCGCATAATTGACACTGCCGGACTGCACACAAGACCCGACTGCAGTTTAGAGTTCTCATTAGAACTGAAAATGTGATCCCGGTCCTACCCAAGCCCGGTGAACTGAAGCCCAGGCCTGGTCCGATTTCTAGAAAACAGTAGGCTATATTGATTTAAACTGGTGCTGTGAACAACGCAGCAGAGGTGGGCGGCAGTCGAGTAAGGAGACAAGGAAACAGCCATTGGGCCTAGAAAAAGCGCAGAGGAAAATTCACCTTAGTTATGATCAACTAATGTTACAAATATTGGAATAAAGTAGGCTAATGCAATTGAAGCCATGTATCAAATGCTTTCTTATACAAAAACTCCGAAAGTCATATCCAACCGTTATATTAATTTAAGGCAATAGTCGTGTGTGGTCACCTAGATGATAACTTCAGCACCGTTTTGATTGGGACAGCGCCATCGCGCTGCTTTGAGACATTTAAATTTTAGTCATTTACCAAACGGTATGAGAGTAGATATGGATATTTGTTTTTAGTTGGTCCCCGTTAAGATACCTTGATATTTAAACAATGTCCTCTCTTCATATCCCCGTTATTCGTGAGCTGATATGCTATCTGTATAATTATCGACTCGATTTAGCAAAATAGGAGATATTCTGTCATTCGTTAGAGGTTATCTAGCAAGCTTGGTCATTTGACTTTTGTTTGACTGCCGTTACAAAGTTTGTATGATTCGACAATGCTATAGCCTACTAGAGGTGCGCTCTATGCGTCCTGAGCGCGCTCTTTGTCCATATAGACTAGGCCTACTGCTGAAATGCGCTGAATTAATTTAGGAAAATGATAACGCTCGGAATTTATGAACGGCCTGTTTCGCAATTCACAACAATGTCATTGGCGATCAAACTTACTCTATCATTACTATCAGTTTCACTTGCTGTGAAATCTTTACATAGTGGCGCAGCCAAGCCGGCAATGTGGCGCAGTGACAATCTTATTTTGGGAGAAGCCTGGGATAGTAACCATATTTGGTTTTAAACGCTTTAAATGGGCACTTACGATTTTTGTGGTATTTCCCGGGACTCTCGGGATAAATATGAATTATTCCCGGTATTGAAATTTGGTAGATTTTCGGGAAAATGTTCATCCCTAATCTACAGTACCCAAGCAGCAGCACACATACGGAACTCATTCTCCCGGAAGCACATCTCTACCCACCTAGTCGACGTGGTGTGAAGCTAAGCATAAAGCTACATACAGTACAATACACACTCAAACAAAGAGCAACTCTCTCACACACTCGAGGTAGATCACGAGGAACTGGAGTAAGGAAAAAGTCATCATCATCACACAGTAAACTGCTGACTGAGTATAGTAGATGTCCTCAAACTCCAGCATCACTATCAATATCAACACTACAGTTGGAATAAGCACCTAATGACACAACACGAGTCTCCTTTCTGTCCTATACACTAATCCAGGGATAGTTATAGTGCTGACTGAGCTCCTTGACTGGGCCAGAACACTGACACATGAGAGGGACTCTCAGCCCCCCCCCCCCCCCCCCCCTATAACAGTGTAATGAACAGTCTAATAACCAGAATATAAAGCAGGAGTTTTACTGTGATACAAATAAATGTATATCCAAGGGGATACAGTTGAACCTGCTCACCCCCTCCATTGACAACCTCCTTTCATCTGATATGCTGCTTGTCAAGTTTTCTGCAAGTGCATGCATGTGTTTATGCAAGTGCATGCATGTCTGCCTACTGCCAGTGCCAAGCATGCACATACTGTATATAAAAGAAAATAGCCCAAACTCCCACAAAAAAAGCTTTGCAAGCCTTTTCTAATGGAAGAGATATATTTTTTACATACATGCACAATCCCATTAAAGGTATTGGAACCACAAGCAGAATCAGCCCCTATCAAAGCTGCTGTTTTGAAGGGAAACCACAAAGCAGGGGAGCTCCACCAGTCCCCACATCCAGGGGATTAGTACCATATCTCTCCCTTTCAGGCCTCAACAAACCACTGTCACGCAACTCCCATCTACTGTATTGTACTGTCTGTGGAGTTGGCTGCTGGCTTCCCTCTAAAAGCACATAAAAATGCCATCTAGACCTGTAGGAACATGTTCCTTAGATTGTTAAATAAGGAGTGCCTTGGTAATTATTTCTAATTTAAATGACCTTTGTTCCTCAGTGGGATTACTACACTTCGCTCAAATCATAGCAAACGATTGATACAACTGTTATTATTTATAACTAACATTACATAAATTGCATTTCTTGATCAAATATTAATAAATCAATTGTGTGTCCTCTCCCAAGTGTGAGGCACTATTCACACTGTATCTATTTATTGGGGATTTCAAGCCGAAGCATGTGCCTATATGGGCTGTCTGGTTTCCAAGCTGGCATTGGCTGCAGTGAGAGGGTAAAGCCAGGTTATAGTGCAATATTCTGTATGAGCAGCAGCAGTGTGGTCGACTAGAGGGCATTAACCTGAGAGTTGTCAGTAATGGAGACCACAACAGACACAAGGAACTAATCAGATATAATCACAATCACACTCTGTTTTGTCCCCTCACCCATTTCCATTGCTACCACCACAAGGTTAAAGTGTTTACACATTGACCTAGAGTTCTGTTTGTTTCTATGGGTCACTTCAACCCTGGGCTGCCATTGAACTTTCAAACTATTCCATCATGAATGGGACAGACATAGAGAAATGTTTGACATCCGCTGTGACTCTCTTGTAACATTCCTCATTGACTCTTAAGTATTGTTAAATATTCACTCAAGAGGCAAGAAAATATCAAAACAATTGGAAATAACACAGGTTGATGCACATCCCTTTCATGGAACATTAACAGAAAGGGTGTTAATGGACACTGCTTCTCTTGGGGTTTCTGCAGTGAAAAGTTAATTATTACAAATTACAAAATCACCACAAACAATTGAATCCATTTTAACACAGAAATGAGACAAAGCTAGATCATTGGTTCTATTTCATCCAGTCCTATAGGCTACAAGGGTTATAACACATGTCCTAGATGTCTGATCTGAGGGAAGGCCTATCAATAATTTATCCATGAACATGAACAACTTGTTTATTATTGTTTGAGATTCATGATCCTGAATCAAACAATCATCAAGACATGTCAGAATCCATTGAACTATTTGATTTCTAAAGATAATACTGAATCAGAAAATGTCTAGGCCTATGCGCTGCACCAGTGAAATTCCAACAGTAAGAGGAATACCAGATGTTAAGGAGTAAGCAATATGCAAGTTCAAGTATCTGTCCACAACAAAACAGTTTACATACTACCATGACGGACACATGGTTTAACAATAAAGTCAATCGGAGGGTAGATAGATGCAATTCCTTCTTGTCTTGCTCATACAATTTCAGTTTTTTTTTTTTTTTATCTGAATAGCGCACTGGTTGCGCACAATGCGCAGAGCCAGCGGCACTTGTAAGCTATCAAACACTTTATCAACTGTTGCTTACCAGTTTGCCTTCTTTGCTCTCGTTTTTATAGTATCCATGGTTCTCGACTGGCGTCGTACAACTCCCGGAGCGCGACTCGAGCAGACCCGGGGACAGCGAATAGAAGGGCGGACTTGGACTCGGAGGGAGTCCCGAATCCGGACTGTCAAGCAGTCCCTCCCGATTCTTTCCTTTCAGACTATCATCCATAGCTTGTAAATGTAGGTGCCCCACCATTTCTGGGAGAGCTCAAAACAAAAACCAGGCAAAGTCACTTAAGGCGATGACGAGCCAACCAATTTTCTTGAATGACTGCAACCCAAAATGCACACATATCCCGTCATTCGGAGATGGGCAATCCCTGGTCAAATTCTTCATTCAAAGGAGATTTCTCAAATAACAAATAACAAAATAATATTAGAATATTGTCATTACATTATAAAACCATAACTTTAATTTGTCACACATTAATCGTGTATTTCTGTGCCTGTAGGCTATACCCTAATCCACAAACCTTTGATTTGTTATTATAGCCTAACAGTTTCATCTGCATCAGACGGTCGGTAAACAGTATTTCATCCCAAACAAATACTCTCAAATAATAAATAATTGACAAGCAAGAAACTAAAGGCAAACTCCAGAAACTCCCTGACAACTAACCAAAAATTATATTGTCGCTCTATCGTCCATTTTCGATTCAAATACGTTCCAGAAAGCAATGGAAGTCATATAAAACAATATGATTTTATCCCACTGTAACGCAGCAGTCTATCTGGCAGCTCAACGCCGAATGTCTGCTCTGCGCTGAACTGAACAGCCGGATCTCGGAGAGGTCCCTCTTCAATGTGCCTGCCAGCTTTTTTGCACCTGGAACCAATCCAGCCATGATGATCTGGATCAGTTCCAGACACAGTCGACAGGGCGAGCACCTCCTCACTGCTCCTCCCGGGCTAGCTGGGGCTGTCTGACTGATACTACACTATTATAATCCTGTATTAAAAACTGGGTGGTTCAAGCCCTGAATGCTGATTGGCTGACAGCCGTGGTATATCAGACAGGTATACCACAGGTATGACAAAACATTTATTTTTACTGCTCTAATTACATTGGTAACCAGTTTATAATAGCAATAAGGCACCTCGGGGGTTTGTGGTATATGGCCAATATACCACGGCTAAGGGTATATAATATATCCAGGCACTCCGCGTTGCGTTGTGTTTAAGAATATCCCTTAGCCGTGGTATATTGGCCATTTACCACACCCCCTCGTGCCTTATTGCTTAATTATAATACTGTCATAACTCAGTAAGTCAGGGAAAGTGGGAATATTTTGAGGGTAGCTATACAATAGAGAGATAATGTATTGAATGAATAGCATATATGCTACAATAAGCCATGGAATTTACTACAAAAAATAATTGATATTTTGATTTGGCTCAAATCAATTGTGTTATGTTTACTTCATGCTTTTAAAATGTATAATGAACTGTCATTTAAAACTCTTGTGACAATATAATAATGTAAACTGAGTGTACAAAACATTATGAACTCTTTCCATGACGTAGGCTGACCAGGTGAATCCAGGTGAAAGCTATGATCCCTTATTGATGTCATTTGTTAAATCAACTTCAATCAGTGTAGATGAAGGGGAGGAGACAGGTTAAAGAAGGATTTTTAAGCCTTGAGACAATTGAGACATGGATTGTGTATGTGTGCCTTTCAGAGGGTGAATGAGCAAGACAAAATATGTGCTTTGAACAGGGTATGGTAGTATGTGCAAGGTGCACTGTTTTGTGTCAAGAACTGCAACGCTGCTGGGTTATTCATGCTCAACAGTTTCCCGTGTGTATCAAGAATGGTCCAACATCCGAAGGACATCCAGACAACTTGCCACAACTGTGGGAAGCATTGGAGTCAACATGGGCCAGCATCCCTGTGGAACACTTTCGACACCTTGTAGAGTCCATGCCCCGACGAATTTGAGGCTGTTCTGAGGGCAAAAGGTGTTCTTAATGTTTTGTAAACTCAGTGTATAGGTACATTGGGTTGTTTGTTGGGCTGTTGTTGTTATTATACAGTACATTATATACTATACCGTACGTTTCTGTGTTCTGTTTCTGTTCTCTATTACTGTGGAGCAAATATCAAGAATGCCATTAAACACAGGTCCCGCAGGTCCCCTAGAGTCAGATTAGAGGAGGGGAGTGTGTATTATTCAATGGAAATGCCTGTCGACTCTTCTCACAGAAGTATGGAGATAGATTAGTGCCACAATTATTGTAAATACACAGCGTACAAGTCTGTCAAGGGCTGATGTGGATGTGGTGTTGGAGTCAGGCGCAGGACACAGAAGCTAGTCGATCCAACTTTAAATAGTCACAGGAGCAAAATACAAATCCAAACGGGCCTCATAAACAGGAGGCGAGCGAATACGCAAAACAGTGCGTAAAGTGCGAACAGCACTAACAATAAGCAAACAAAATAACCTACACCAACAGACAGGCGTACAACGACACACAACTACAAACAAAACCAAAGGAAACTTATAGGTGACATAATCAAGACGTGATATGGAACAGGTGCACTAATCAGACAAAACCAAACAAACATAGATAACATCAAACGGTGGCAGCTAGTACTCCGGGGACGACGAACGCCGAAGCCTGCCCGAACAAGGAGGAGGAGCAGCCTCGGCGGAATTCGTGACAAAGTCACAAATGTATAGCAGCAGCATGATGAGATTGGACTCTGTAGGCCTATAGACGGGTGAAGGAGGAGATGAAGACACAACACAAAGTTATTTAGTGGAGTAAGTACTGTATTTGTATGATGACATTGCTAAAATCAATGTCCCAACAGTAATGCTAGTCCATTGGAAACATTTAGAGTTCAGTTTGAATATGCTTTTGCATTTGGCATCTTATGCCAGCACCTGACAGTTTGACATGACCTATTTTCTCTTCAAATTGTGTGTGTGTGTGTGTGTGTGTGTGCGTAACAATGTATTGCCCAGTATATTTCAGGACTGGGTTGGGAATGCTGTATGACTCCCAGTAACTATATGAGTATGGAGCTACAGCAGACCCGAGCTCAGTCTAACCGACAGGATAGTCATCACAGCCCAGCAGGATTAAGAATGGAACCCTTGTTGAAGGTTCCCCCAACATAAATGACTCTTACCAACATCAACCCTGCCAAGAGGGAAATCAGAGCACAAATCCACAGTGCAGCAGAGGAGTGGGTGTCTAGGGAAGTTGATTGTGTCTTTGATGGTTCAGCAGCTTTCCATGGTGATTACAGCAGATGGCCAGGAAATCATGAATTATGTTTTTTGGGTCCTTATAAAACTATGATAAATATGTGCTTTGCTTTGTTGTCTAATGTGTAATTAATTTAATGCAGGTTAAGCTTGCATACATGGTATCTTGTTTTCTTATGGCTGTTTTCATCCTCTTAGTGTTATTGTGATGGAGTGGAGCTGTGGAAGGAAGTGTGGGCTGTGCTGTGGGAGTAGTCAGGAGTTCACTGTGTCAGGTGTGTCTTTGGGGACATCATCATGTCATCATACAGGTATTCCATGTTCAAAAGAGCGCATCCCAATGATCCCCATGTTTTTAAAAGATTACAGAAGAGATTTGATCTGTAAGACACAGAGGATGAGCATGTTTTGTGGGCATCATACTTAGGTATGTGTGCTGTGTGCATAATGTTATGTTTGGACAGAAGTATGTAATGTCTTATCTTTTTATAAAGATAAGCATTATATTGTTAGATTAAAGGAGTAACTCTGGTAGGCCTAAAACATTCTTCCTCACCTCAAGTTCAACTGTCGGAATCAGTTGGAGCGCTGGCGCACTGCCATCATAAGCCTAATATACCACACCAAACATTCACAAAAGTGTTTTAACTTTATTAGGGTAATATCAAAAGTAAGTCAAGTCATTGTTTATAGGGAACATACAAACAGGTTTCTATATTGTGACATTAAATCTCGCCCTCTTTATCTTTTCATGATTTACATTTTAGTAATTTAGCAGACGCTCTTATCCAGAGCAACTTACAGTGCATACATTTTTTTTTCTCATACTGGCCCCCCGTGGGAATTGAACCCACAACCCTGGCGTTGCAAACGCCATGCTCTACCAACTGAGCTACATCCCTGCCGGCCATTCTCTCCCCTACCCTGGGCCAATTGTGCGCCGCCCCATGGGTCTCCTGGTCACGGCCAGCTACGACAGAGCCTGGATTCGAACCAGGATCTCTAGTGGCACAGCTAGCACAGCGATGCAGTGCCTTAGACCACTGCGCCACTCATACCTCCAATCTATGGCCCATCTTCTCCCCTGGGCTGTTAACAGTATATACAGCACCTCAGAATGGCCCATCTTCTCCCCTGGGCTATGAACAGTATATACCTCAGAATTGTTAGCTCGTTACTGGTGTCGGCTAGCTCCTTCTCTCTGCACCGCTGGGTTAGGAAATCATAGCAGGCTAAACTGTGTCATTTCATCTGTATATTGTCCGGACATTTCTTACTTCTCTAGAATGCCTGTTTGAGTAAATAATTAAGTAGAAACAATGTGAAGGTTGAATCCTAACTTGCAGCTGCAAACAGCAGGCCCAGCGGTAGGAGAGGGTTGAGCTATAGGACAGGAGGGGTATGACCCTCTGGAGTGCTTAGGCTGAGACTGAACTTTATCCATGGATCAGGAGGGATGGTTAATGGTGTCTGGGTAGGACGGGTGTTTGGCTGCAGACAGAGGAGCCACCAGAGTGACAGCAGAGGAGAAGTGTTTGGCATGTTGACCCTGAGAAAGACAGACAGACTCATGGGACTAACAACATAACCTTTGTGTGCCCTGAGACATGGACTGTGTCCCAAATGCACCCTATTTCCTATATAATGCACTACATTTGATCAGAGCCCTATGTGCCTTGGTCCAAAGTAGTGCACTACATAGGGTCTAACGCCGTAGGAGTCTACAGCCATGTCTCAGGGCACAACAGTCATGTGACCGCCCTCTCCACAGACTGTTCTAGGCCTATATTCATAAAGACTCTAGGAGTAGGAGTGCTGATCTAGGGTCAGTTATGCCTTTCAGATAATAATAAATAATATTACATGGACAGGGGGGATCTGATCCTAAATCAGCACTCCTACTTTTTGAATACATGCCCGGTTCTGCTGCAATCTGGTCTGTGAGGTCTGTCTGTCTGTTACAGATATAATGTCATGT